ACAAATCTCTCTCACATAAAATGACACAAGTTAGAGGATCCGCCGCCTATTCCAGCATCTCTTCATTACGACATGTCTCTATTTAGACGTGCCAATTTTCCAACACTATTGTATTGTTATTCTGACAAATCGTCCATATTTTATTATAACATATTATAATATTATATATAATATCATATTAAAATGCTTGACTGTTTCCCACGGCTTTAACGGCGTCCTAGAGTTGTGTTACTTTGCGGCGCATAGACCTTAACGCAGATCCATAAATCAAAAACGACGGCGACAAGGCGACAGCGGCAGTGTGCGTTGAGTCGACGCAGAACTGTAATTCTGAACTATAATGACTGCTCTAGTTTAACACAGTCTGGCAAAAACTAAAACACATGAACTGATCTGTGTGCGTAAACACGTCTCTCTCACATAAAATGACTGTCACAAGCTAGAGGATCCGCCACCTACTCCGACATCCCGATGTGCCATTTTTCCAACACTTTTTTGTATTATTCTGACAAATATTACATTTTTTATTATAATATATTATAACCATATATATAACATCATATTAAAATGCATGACTGTTTCCGACGGCTATCAGTGAGGACATTTTCCCACGGTCTGATAACCTTTGTGGCTGAAGTTTTCGCTGATCTTTGCTTCTGATCTTATGATATATGAGAGCGCAAGGTATAATAGACTATCACATTAATATTGTTTATGTCAGAAAAATGGAATGTTTAAAAAATAATTAAGTACTGCTACAATGAAAAAAAAAGTCAAAGTAGTGGGATTGCTTGGAGAATAATGTTTATGCCATTACTTTGACAATTAGATGTCAATGTCTAAACGTTAGTCAGCAGTTTTTCATTTAGTCACTCTCACCTTTTTGTTGAAAATCAAATACCTCGACTCGACCGTGAACGCTCATATTGATCACAGGCTCCTGAAAATATGTTGTTTAAATCCATTTTGTATTTCTGGCGAGTTTTCAAACTATATTCAGATTTTTTTTTTTTGGTAATGAGATTTTGGTAATGTGCATCGTGTCACCATGGTAACTGTTGAACATTCCACCAATAGATATACATGTAGAACACCCCCAGCCCAGCGTGATGCCTCTGCAAAGTATCAGAAGATATAAGTTGGGAGTGCCAATATTCTGGGCTGCAGAGGAAGGCAAAAACAGCTCTGAGTCTGGTCCCTGGTCTCCTCATTATGCACAGTTGGGCGCACCAGGCTCCTGTGAGCTCTCCGGAGCGCTCCATGCAGATTTGTGAAAGTGTGAGCGAGAGAGAAGCGAGAGAAGCGATCTCAGGACAGATGGAGAAGTGCGAGGTTACACGAGAATCTTTAGACGTGGATTTAAAGAGCCATTTTCTGATCTGTGTTATTATAATGCTTGTTTCCTCATCAAAAAACATAAGTGGAGTTGTGTTTTGTTTCATTCAAGGAGCTGTGAAACATTTTGAGCTCTGGATTTGTAGAGAGATTAATAGTGCATGTGTGAATAAACAAAACACAACTCCAGGTCTGTTTTTGATGAGGAAACAACATTCTTCAGACTAAAAGCTCACAAGAGTCAATTTAGCACACTATAGGACCTTTAAAACTCACATGGAGGCTACTTAGTGCACTGTTTAGAGGTTACGCCATTTTAAACCGGTCAATATAGACCATAATGCATTGCAAGAGTCGGGAAAACAACGGCGTACAGTGACAAGGTGTTTAACTGGACACAACACGACTGAATGAAGCAGAAAAAAGCGCTGGTTTATGGTTGATTATGAATAAAACTCCCTTAAATAATAAACTGTTATAGTGTAAAGGTGCCATTTATTTTAACTCCAGCTTTTACAAGAGCAATAATTTCCACATTCAATACAAAAAACAAATAATCCAGTCTGTTTATGTGAAATCCATCTTGACAAAAACTTGTATGATGAATATTAGTCCATAAACACTTGTGTGCCAACCTGAAATCAAGTTTTATCGGAGTTTACACTTCAAATGAGGTGTTTGGCCGAAGAAATAAGGACAGTATCACGTGTTTTTGAATGGGATTTGAACCAGCAACCCTCCTAATGTTTATCAATGGTTATCAGATGTGTCTATGACTTAAAGAACACATATTGTGCTAGTGTTTACTACATAGTGGATCTATCGTCGACCATTTTGTTATATTTTGGACATTTTAAATCGTAATAGTCATCTAAAAGAAACAACTTCTATAGCTCCTGATCTTTTATTTTATTTTAATATTATCATTTTTAATTTAAAATCTTTACTAATCATGTTATATGATGGACTTATAGTGTATGGGCACACCAGTTTCCCAATCACTCCCAGATACCAAACCAGTTCCGTCTTCTCTCACCACAGCAGCAGAACCATCAGCTTCCTCATCCTCTCCATCTCCTCCGTTTCACCACCACCACTGTCCAGACCCCCATGGTTTATTATTATTATTATCATTATTTTAATAGAATCCACCTCTCTTCACTGGATTGCTGACCTAATTACTGATCCTTTAAATAAATTAAAATGCATCTCTCATATTGAAAACTTAGACGTTGCCACCTGCCTGCTGTCCCCAAACACAGAAAAACAAGAAGAAGAAAGTAGAGAGTAGGAAAACCTGAAAATGTGAGGCAATAGGGCAAAACCTGAAGTGTGTTTACATGCGCACCAGTATCCCAGTTATGAGTCTTATCCTGGTTATGAAAGTGTTTTTGATATAGAGTTTACATGAGCTCAGATAAAACAGGATACTCATATCTCTACGTACACGAGGAATCAGAGTATCTTGGATATTTAGACTGGTCTCTATCTAAAGCACAGATATGGCACGGGTCTGAACATGTAAAAACGTTCCTAACTTTACCTACCGTATTTTTCGGACTATAAGGTGCACTTTTTTTCACGGTTTGGGTGTTTTCTGCGACTTATAGTGCGGTGCGACCGCGAGAGGGCGCTCTAGGCTCGTGTGTCAGTATCTAGTGCTACTTTTACTCCTGTACCACTGTCACTTTGCACTCTACTGCGCATGTCTCCTGTAGAAATAGCCGCTGTCTCACTGCGTCGACATGCCACAGTAGAATCGATTTCAGGATTTTACTGTGTCATGGTTCAAGTTCTGTAGTGGTTGTTTTTGCTTATTTTGGTGTATCTTTTTCCTTTAGTGTTTTGTGCCCCTTTTATTTTGATATTTTCCTGTCTGCTTGTAGTTTTGAGTTTTACTTCTTGTCTTGATTTTTTGCCCCACCCTGATGTGTTTCACTTGTGTCTGCGTCCTTTTATACCATGTGTTCTCCTCTGCCCTTTGTTGGTCCATTGTATTTGTCATGGTCTGTGTCTTTGTCAGTGTCTTGTCTTGTCTTGTCGTGGCACTTTCGTTTCAGTTTTTGGATTTATGGATTTTTTTGGATCTTTTTTTGTTTGTTATTAAAAATTTTTAAAGCAATCCTGCATTCTGGGTCCTCCCTTTGTTTCCACGTGACATGCTGATCACTTTTAAAGCTCGTTTAGGTCTTGCAACAAGTTACATTTCAGAACTTTTAACCCCGTAAGAGCCGTCCTCCCGCAGCCTTAGATCCTCAGTCAGGTCCCTGTTTGCTGTTCCAAAGTCCAGACTCCGGACGAAGGCTGATGGAGCCTTTTCAGTCCGGGCGCCTCATCTTTGGAACGACCTGCCTGAGGAGATAAAGCTCGCACCATCAGTATCAACTTTTAAATCACTTCTTAAGACTCGTTTTTATTGGCTGGCCTTCCTTTAACTGGTTTTAGCTTGATTTATTATTTGTTTTTGCCAGCGTTTGTCTGTTTGCTTGTTTGTCTGTTAGCAACATAACTCAAAAAGTTATGGACCGATTTTGATGAAATTTTCAGGATTTGTTGGAAATGTGAAAAGGAAGAACTGATTTAATTTTGGGGGTGATCCGGAAGAAATCCTGGATTCTGGATCACTTTGAAATTTTAGTTAACATTGTGGTAAATGGGGCCAAAAATTTTGTTTCTCAATATCTCGGTTAATTATTGACCAAACCCCATGAAATTTGACTCAGGGATGGACAATGGGATCCTCTTTCATATTCCAAAGGCTGATCCGGATCTGATCCAGAAGACTGATTTTATTGCAATTTATATAAAAAATGGGGGTAGTCCTTGGCGGAGGTCTGCGCTCTCTGAGTGCTTTTCTAGTTCCTTTTTTTTTTCCTTTTCCTTTTTAAAAAAAAATTATTTATTATAACTTATTGGATTGTTTGCATCATTGTCTGTTTTTGTGCCTTCTGTTTTCTATTTTTATACCTTTTTTTTGGTCTTTGCGACTTGTACAGCACTTTGTAAACCTTGTTTTTAAAAGTGTCTTATGAATATTGATTTATTATTATTATTTTTATGCTGGATACTCTCTGAAAAATCCAGTGAGAGTATTCTGGTTTCTCATCACCGGGATACTTGCATATCCAGGAGACAGAAATCAGGATACTGCGTTTACACGGACACTCACATAACCAGGATACTCAAAAAAACCCCGATCATAACCAGGATACTCGAGCACTTGTATACACACTCATAGATTAATTGTATAATCTAGATTATCCCATAGGTTGGATTCACATAAAATGAATTAAAATAGAGGACAGGTTAAAGTTTTGTGGTTGAATTTGCTCCGTAAATGTCACGTTGCAGATTTGTTGACCAGATTTATGGTTCATGTCTCTGTAATTACCGGGCCTATCCACATGAAACAAAAACTGGCACAAATTTCAACGTATTTAGCTCCAGAAAGTTTGGATATATCTTCCAAAAGCTGTACAGAGTCTTGTCCTCCATCTGAAATTCTACTATGTGAACACAACCTATTGACAAAAAGCAGAACTGAAAATGTCAAAAAGTCAACAAAACATGAAGGATGTATTGCAAATAAAGAGCCAGTTGTACATTTTTCAGATACAAAAGGCACTTAACGTAACAGCAGCAGTGAGCTCTTGTGTTGTACTTACTTTAGGCGTGGGACAGGAGGCGGTAGAGAGGCGTGACGTGGCCTGTGCTCGGGGTGATTCTGAGGGCGTGGTGCTCAGAGACGTCGTATCCCGCGGCAACACCTGCACACCCCGCGAGATGATGGAGTCTGGGATCTGAGGTCACACGACACACACACACACACACGCACATGTAAACGGCGACCAACACGGAAACACACTCACAGGGACCAGGGGTGGAGCACGAGTTCATGACGCGAGTTTATTCAAAAAGGGCACAGAGACTCCCCCTGCTGGCACTTTAAGGAGCAACCGGATATTTAAATGAGGCTAAGAGCGGGTTAGCTGTGCACTGAACATCATTTCTGTCTTTGAGTATTCCTAAATATGCAGGTAGAGCTGCCATCTGGTACTGATCCAAGAAACCGTCCACGCAAACTCATCTAGTGATAACAATAAACTCTATTCACGCTTATGTCACAAACCAGGAAGATGTTTGGAAAGATGCGATTACAACTTCCCAGGCCCAGTTTTCTTCATGTACATGTCGTGGTTGCATTCGGTTATGTTCGACAAATCAACAATTACAGCTACACCTCAGTTTTTATAATCTCCTCACCGACACACAACTGCGAACGCACCGGGTACATGAGATTAGAAGAGACGAGGCGCCAAATTCAAGATGATTCCGAACAGCACATACGTATGCAGTCTTCATTTTACCGCTGATCACATTTACTTCAATCGGTTTTAATAGATCCATGTTAGGCCAAGTGTCAGTAACTACACCAGAAGTTGTCATCGCATCTTTCCAAACGTCTTCCTGGTTTGGGACATAAGTGTGAATGGAGCCTATTTTGCATTTGTGATGTACCACACCTCTCAAAGAGCTACACTGTAATCATTAAGAATTCACTACACACTTCTGTAGCCACAGCTGCCCTGGGACAGACCCAGAGAAGCGAGGCAGTGCTTCACCACAAATCACTCACTCCACACTATATTCATACTAAACAAGGAGGGTGAAGTGACTTGCTTGAAGACTAAGGTCAAACCCCCGACTTTTGGGTTGGTGGACCTAGTGTCGTAGTACTCGAGTTTTTTTAAGGTCTTGGTCTCGTCTCGGACTTGGCCGTGTTTGGACTTGGTCTTGAAGGAGCTTGGATTCGATCTTGTCTGACACTCGTCGAGTGCGATCATATTTGATTACAGGCTGCTGCTGTCGGCAATAAACTTCTTACCGCGACATGTGGTTGAAGTTTGCCTTATAAAAGTGCACAAATGCATCTGTATTTGTCATGACGTGTGTTTGATAAATGTACAGAGGCTGATAAATCGCACTGCAAAACCAGTACGAGAATGTAAGTTAGAAATAAAAAATAAAAATAAAAAATGGTTTAAAAATCCTACTCACTTTCTTCACTTTGTTCACAGTTTTCTATAAAATGCCAGTGGAAGTTCTCTTAAAGAAGGGGTTCTCAAACTGTGGGTGAAGGTCCAAAAAGGGGTTCAGAGTGTTTTAGTGAAGTACAGTTTGCTTGGCTTATTTTATGCATAAATTAACATTAATCAGATAAAATTAAGACAGATTTATAAAAACATTGTTGTATTTGTGCCAAAATAACTATAAAAAAAAAATAAATGTAGAAAATGACAAAGATGGTCTCGATTAAGTCTCAATGGGCCGTGATCTGGGTCTTGTCTCGGCCTTGACCCTCAGAGGTCTTGGTCTTGTCTCTTGGGACCCTGTGGTCACAGACTGGTCTTGGTCTCGATTAGTTCGGTCTTGACTACAGCACTAGGTGGAACTAACTACTGAGCCACTGTTGCCCGACATCACCAGACATTTTGATTCATTCAGTCAAACACAAACACAACAGCGAACCAACTTAACACCAGGAACTTGCTTTGACTTTATTTTAACAATTTTAGCTTCGCAAGCCGCAAGGGGGAGTCTGTTATCCCAAACCAAACTCACGGACACTTTACTTTACTTTGTTTTTATGGACACAAATAATTCACAAAATATAAGCGTTTGTTAATAAAAGCGTAGCACCAGTCTCTATGTCCATCCCTGGTACGAGCTGTTTACATTTATAATAACATCAGTGTAACAAAACAGTGAACATGTGACAACACCAGCCCGTAGAAAAAAGTGTTTATCTGGAGGTTAATGGTGAAATGAGACTTACCCATGACTGCTGCAGACTGCACACACACGAGGAGGAGGAGGATGGAGCGATGAAATGGTGATGGGATGAGGATGGAGAGATGACCCAGTGAGAGGCAGATAGAAAGATGAAATGAACACATGAGTATGTAAGGATCTGAAGATACAATGATCTCAAAATGACATTACTTTAGTGTAAGCAAAATAAGTTGTACTAACAAGTGGCCTAGAGGTTAGTTTGGCTTTTTTTTTTACATACTAAGGCAGGGGTCATCAAACTAAGGTCCATGGGCTGACTCTGGCCCGCCACGCCCCTTTGACCGGCCCCCAGTCTCTCTCAAAAGTTGTCATGGCCTTTTTTTTTTTTTTTTTATTACTTTGCTCACCTGGAAAGACATAAGAGCTGGCAAGTTGATCTCATATTATAATTTCAATTTTCTTTATGTATTTATTTTATAGGCCTATTTATTCAACTTTTCTTAAGTGCTGCAGACAATTATTATTAATACAACTGTTATTAATATTATTATAGTTACTATCAACAGGCCTACCTTCAATTTGTAATTTTAAAATTTTAAATTACTCTGCTTTGCCAGCGTCAATCGCCAGATGTTTCTTATGTTGACAGTTTCTTACCTTTCTTACCTTGATATTTATTTATATTATTTATTCATTTATTTATTTATTTTTAATTATTTATGAATGTATTTATTTATTATTATTTATTATTATTTTTTTATTTTTATTTTTTATTATATTTTTTTGAATAATAATTTATTGCCTTTTTAACAAAACAGAGCAATACAGTAAAATCCAGCACAGCATAGTCTACATAGAACTAAATGGACAAAGACTGTCACAAGGTCTGAGTCAGAGCTAAAATGAAAAAGAAATACACATTGCACAATGATTGATTAAAATTAAAAATAAATTGGGAGCCTCCTTTTTATAAAGCACATCAGCCAAGTCCTGAGGCAGATGGTCCAGAAAGGTTTGCCATATTTTATAGAAAGTGGTTGAATTGTCTTTTAAGAGGACACTGAGGGATTCTCTCTGTACCATTGTGTAACAGATGGAGGTTTTGATATTTCTATTCTTGTTATTAGAAAATAAATTAATAGAATATTTATGGTATTTAAAATTAAAACCAAGTGTGAAGTGCTTACTATTTTTGCAAACCACTAGTAACGATAAACAAATACGTGCCAGGAATTATGTGTTCTTGATGTAGTTTTGTGGACGGCTGTGCTGGTCATTTTGGTCAGGGTCATACAGTTCTGTTATACGACCGACCTGACCCTGAACCCCCCATCATAGTCAAGAGCGATAATGTGGCTCAGAAAGAAAAATGTTTGGTGTCCTCTGTACTAATAAAAAGGTTTAAAAGGCTTGAAAGTTGGTACTGATGTCGTAAATTTCACCTCTTTTTGTGTCAGCGTCAATACACAACAACAACTTAACAACTCTAGTACGATTTCATGTTTATCCAGTGTTATTGTTCCCCTCCCGTCTCCTGTAGCATGTTCCCGGACACAAACGTGAGTGACTCGTATGACCTGCGATGGAGGACAGTGTGATAAATGTCTCATGAGAAGGTGAGACTCGGGAGACGGAGCTGATGCAAGAGCAGAGCAACAGTTCAATGACAAAACCCCATTTAAACACTTTCACTTTCTGATCGACACTGGAACAGCACCGAGCATCAAAATCATAATAAATAACATACTAAAAATATACTGTATATGGTTTGACTTTAGAATTTATTCAGTAATGTATAGATAGTTGTGTAAAGTATAGTCATATAATACACTGGTTACTATTTTTGATGATGTCTGTTACAGTGCCAATCAGTAATATTCATTCAAAGATGGAATATGTAGGATTTTATTTGAGTTAATTTAATTTTTGGACCATATTTGCTGATTTGTAACTGGTATAGTGCGGTAAAATGAAGTGTCTTGCCAAGGGATGCAACAACAGTACGGATTTTGAACGAGACTTGAACTGACAACTCTTCGAATTTGATTCATTTTATTATTTTTAACATAAAGCAACACTGTGTAACTTTCTGGAAGTGGAAATATAAAGTTAAAACCATATTTGCGAACATTCTCCATAGAGATGACAGCTTTTATGCCATACTGAAGAACATTATAACCAAAACAAGCAGGAGAAGTCAAGTAAGTGTCAGGTTTGTGGAGATGCGAGCCTGCGTACAGTAAGGATGCATGTTAAATGAACATTTTCTGATTGTTCACAGACCCCTTTGGTAACTTAACTCCCCGGGCAGGTGTAAAGTCTGGCTATAGCGAGAAACGTTCCCGATTAAACACCATTTTAAAAGCTGCTTACACAGAACCCTCTCAAAATGTGTATTGATACTTTGCAGCGACGTCATGCTGGGGGGTTTCTTAAACATTCCACCATTACAGATACTTGTAGCAGTTACCGTGGTGACACTATGCATGACATGAGACAGATAGTTTAAGTTTTACGATCATCTGGAAACTCAAGAAAAACGCAAAATCGATTTCAACAACAAATGTGATCAATACAAACGTTCATGGTTCTGTTTAGGACGAGTGACTGACTGAAAAATTGTTGGCTAATGCTGCATTCTACTGAACGTCAGTAGTCGATAAATCCAAGTCAGTTTTCCCGACATCTGTTGTAAATGCGTTCCATTGCAACAATCAGGGAAAATATGGAGCCCAAGAAAGTTTAATGCAAACATGTCAAACTTTGGCCTGCGATATAATTATATTTGGCCGGCGAGATCATATCAAATATGTATTAGAGCTGCCCACCGGCTACAGAGAGACTATAGAGACATTATTTATGTAAAATTTGTTACTATTTTATATTATGCTTGTTCTTTATTCAGTGTTTAAACAAAAACTATTATTAAACATTTATTTTAATAAGAAAAGGTTTAACATTACATATCTCGAAAGAAAACAAAACATCCAGATGCTGTTAAACTTTTTCAATAAATATTAGTTTGGCCCACAATTTAGTCCCAGTTTTTAATTTTGGCCTCTGTGAATTTGAGTTTGACACCCCTAGTTTAATGTAACGTCAGGTATTTCTAGCTCCTGCAAAGAAATCGAGTCTGTTAGCTAATGTCAGCGACTCAGTTATGGCAGTTTTACTATTACATGTTCAGAAAAATCTTGTGTCTACATCACTACAGTGATTTTAGAAGACACTTTTTCAACACATACACAACTTAACACATCAAAATGATGAAAAGACAATACTCCCCATTTATTGTGTGCGCTGCTATTTTTGCTTGTAGCTGCCTCCAGTTGGTGTAGTGACACTCTCTGGTGCTACAGTGGGGAAAAAAATCCCCTGGACTGAGACAAGATTTTTCTCATAGAGCATGTAATCACAAACTGCTCGTGTTCGTCTGACAGGGCACCTACAACTTTCAAAAATGTTGGATTTTGTGGTGATTTTTACCTGTTTTTAGATCATAAACTTTTTCTCAGCTCAAAATCCTTCAGTTGTCTTAAAAAATGCCTTATAATCTTTCGCCTCTGCTCTGCTGTAGCTCCTCTCACTCTGATTGATCAAAATGATCACGTGATACACGAGACCGCGCTCCGTGCGTGCGCTTGAGTGCATTCGCGTGTGCCCGCGGGAGAAAAGAGCACTACTGCACATGCTCAATCAGGCCAGAGCCAACAGAAGTACCTCACCGGGCTAAAGGCGAATCTGGAGTCAGGCGCCATTGAGTTTGGCCCACAGACTTGAATGGACGGCCGTTTTGAAACCCCGGGGCTTGGTCTGCACCGAGGTAGCCTGAGTTTGTGTTTTGGAATGATTGGCCGTTCAATTGCACTTTCTCGAGGTGGAGGTCGGTTTTCCCCGAGTCCTGAGCGCAATAGATCGCATCATAACAGCACAAATCCGCTCACCTGTTGTAGTTCCAGATAAATCAGCTCTTTCTGGTCAGATTGTGTTAAAATAAAACTCAGATTAAAGTCTAACTTGAGTAACAAAGCTTCAGCTGTTAAACAAGTCTCTGTCACATAAAACTACAGTCACAATATAGCTATCATTTTCAGTTTATCACCTTTTTGTTGAAAATCGAGCTCTTACACAGGACCACGATCGCTCGTATTGATCACCGGCTCCTGAAAATGTGTTGTTTAAATCCATTTTTTATTTTTACTTGAGTTTTCAGACAATCTTTAAAGTTCATCGTGCATTGTGTCACCATGGAAACTGCTGAACATTGTGCCAACAGACATGCATGTAGAACAACCCAGCATCACTTAGACTTAGATAAACTTTATTGATCCAAAGTGGAAATTATTAGAATTTTTTAGACTTAGAACTGCAAAGTGTCAATATTTCTGACTCTGAAGTTCACAAATCCTACATATTTCATCCTTCGTAGTAGTAGTAGTAGTAGTTTAAAAATGTTGAATGGACAATAGCATGTCCCGCACCTGTCTGTGTCTCTGCCCCCGTACCTTAGCAGCGATGGAGGCAGCGGTGATGTGGGACGACGAGCTGTCTTCGGTGGACGCCACGCCGCTGTCCTTCTTGTCCTCGTCCTCGTCCTCGCACTGCACGCCCTTGTCCTGCGTGTGCGTGCGGGGCGGGGACAGCGGAGGGGGCGGGCTGCGGGGGGGCGGGGACAGGGGGGGCGGGGGCGACGGCAGCTCCTCCAGGCCGTCCGACGCCTCCTTCACCCGCACCACGGCGTCCCGGAGCAGGTCGATGGCGTGGGGAAGGGCGGGAAGGATGAACTGGAAACACTCCTGGAGGACGAGAGGAGGGAGAGAATCTGTGTGTCATTCGTTTTTTAATATAAAACCAGAAATGAGAAAAAGAAAAAAGAACAGCTATTTTCTTTATTATTTGTCTCCGAAATCAAAATGAGAAAAAGGATAATGGTTCTTTTTTCAGTTTTCAATTTTCTGTTTAAAATAATAATGGAAAAAAAGGATAACGGCCGTTTCCCATTTTCGTGACTTAAACTGCGATGCCGGACTGAACCAGGTCTGAAACAGGTCTAAACCAGCTCTAAACCAGGACTAAACCGGTCTCAGTCCTAGTCTCAGTCCCGGTCTCAGTTCTAAACCAGGACTAAACCAGGACTGAACCAGGACTGGACCAGGACTGGACCAGGAGTGTGGGGATTGGTCCAGACATGCTCTAAACCAGCTCTAAACCAGAATTGAACCAGGATTAAACCAGGTCTGAGTCCTGGTCTCAGTCCCAGTCTCAATCCTGGTCTGAGTCCTGGTCTGGTCCTGGTTTCTTGATCACCCGACAGTCTAGGCAGGCACACTTCCAGACCAGTCCCCACACTCCTGGTTCAGTCCTGGTTCAGTCCTGGTTCAGTTCTGATTTAGTCCTAGGACTAAGACCAGGACTGAGACTAGGACTGAGACCGATTTAGTCCTGATTTAGCACTGAGACCGGGACTGAGACTGGGAGAGTAGGACTGAGAACAGTTTAGTCCTGGTTTAGACCTGTTTCAGTCCTGGTTCAGTCCGGCATTGCAGTTTAAGTCACGGAAACGGGAAACGGATTTTATCTGTTTCTTCCATTCTTCATTAAAACACAAAATCGAAAACTGAAAAATCGAATCATTATCTGTTTTTTCATTTTGGTTTTGGAGACAAATAATGAAGAAAATAGTTGATTTTTCATTTTCTTATTTTTGGTTTGATACACGGATTGAAGAGGTACTTTACTGTTATTGTCGCAGTGTTATACTTTACATAAAAAAATAAATTGAACTGTAAATAACACAAAGTACGTGGTGTTAATTGATAAAGTATTGCATTAACTTCTGCCCTTTCATTTAAAAATGCTCTGGTTCATGATCATTTTGTTGAATTTTCTTGTTCATTTTGTTTTATTTTGTGACTATATTTGAACTCCGTCATAGTTTTTGTCATGTGTGAGTGAGAGTGTGTGTACGGCTGTGTTGATTTTGTTAAGTTTTTTTCTATGTGTATTTGATTTTCTGTAGCCGCTCTACTGTTTCTGACTTCTGCTGTTGGAACTATGAGGATCCTCCAAACAAATAAATTCAAACTCAGGCTACGTTTATACAGTGACGGTCTGAACAGAAGACGCAAAAGTGGCGTCACGTCTTCACTTTTTATTCCATGTTTAGACAAGTGGTTTATGGAGGAAATCTGCGTGCATACGGTGACGCAAAAGTGTGTGGAATTTGATTGGGTATGTTTGTACTTAAAGCAACAAGGGCGTCTTTGGACATACGCATTTTCATCAGCTGCTCCTTCCACAAAGTTGTCCCACCATCGACTGGTTCTCCAGGCCTCGTCCATATCCGTCTGTCTCGCCTACGACAAACTGGTGCATCCAGAGTTTGACAGAGGTGATTGCAGATCCTTCTCTGTTCACTAATAGTGTCTCTGCAGATTCTGTACATTTGTTGGGAGCCTCCAGTAAGTTTATTAGAGCTGCCAGAGACATTTTTGTTTCTGTGTACTATATATATGTGACGTAAACGCGCACGCGACCTGAACAAATCTGACCAGAGTTTTGCGTCTTGGGCAGTGAGCGTATTCAACTTTTTCACTCTGGAGTGTGGTTTCAGATTTTTGCGTTTTTAAGGCAAGGCAAGGCAAGGCAAATTTATTTGTATAGCACAATTCGTACACAAAGTAATTCAAAGTGCTTTACAGAATAAGAAATACATTAAAATCATAATAAAAACAAATCAAAACATAAATAATCATGAAGATTAAAATTAAAAAAGAGAGACATAAATTGGAGAGAAGAGTGCGGAATGAAAACCTTTCAGTTATATGCACAGTTAAACAGAAATGTTTTGAATCTGGATTTAAACAGCGTCACAGAAGAGTCTGTCTCACATGTTCAGGAAGACTGTTCCAGGTTTTAGCTGCATGAACCTGAAACGCTGACTCCCCTTGTTTAGTTCTGACTCTGGGCACCAGCAGGAGGCCGGTCCCTGAGGTCCTCAGAGTGCGAGATGGTTCATATGACACTAACATGTCACAGATGTACTTTGGTGCTCGGCCATGGAGAGACTTGTAACAAGCAGAGCTGCTTTAAAGTCTATTCTCTGAGGCACAGGAGCCAGTGCAGAGACCTGAGCACAGGACTTATGTGCTCGTACTTCCTAGTTCGATTAAGGTTAAGTTTAAGCCCCAAAAACACCGTCACCATCTAAACGAAAGGCACTTCTGAGAAAATATTTTGTCATTTTTACCCACAAGCGTTCTGGTGTAAAAAGGCCCTAAATATTGTCTGTCAGGTACAACTATAGTATCATTCTTATCTGAGGTAATCCAAGAAGTCATCTATGAGCTGAAGTTTACTCATAATAATAACCCTAACCCTAACCTAAGTCTTATATAGCGCTTTTTCACATTCATACTAGGCAATGTAGGTGAAGTGTCTTGCTTAAGGACACAACAGCAGTTCAATAGAGCCAGTCCTGCTCCACTGTGACACCTGGTACTGACTACTTACTACTATTACAATTGTGTGTATTCAAATATATCTACTATACCTTAATCACAGTTTAATCTAAGTTTAAGATGTGAAATACAAGGACTGAAATATGAAAAGATAGTCCCACATTTGTCTAAGCACTATTGTAGTACTTTTGCCAAGTCATTTACTGTTCATTTTTTATTCAAGTCATTCTGTTGTTCTCCAAAATGAGTAATATTATTCATACGTAAAAGTACTCTTCTGCCTTCTCTATGAATAAGAAACATCAGCAGACTGTTGAATTTGTATATGACACTGCCCTCTACTGGACACTTCTCCCATGACAAAATTTATTGTGAGATTTTAAGTGTTTTAAATTCAGAAATATCCTCTATTCCAGCTGCAAACTCAAATAAATGTCAAGTATGTACGGATTACAAAGCATCACATGTCAAACTCTAGATTCTCTACAATAAAAAGATAATTCAAGCTCTAGAATTATCTTTTGTTCGTACAACTTTATAAAAACGCCTTGCGGTGTCGTCTCTTGGATATTATCGGAATTGAAATTTAACAAAAGTACGGCTCCACAATTATGAACAATAACACAGAACATTAAATCTAAAGGATCATCTTGGTATTAGTAAAAGTAAAGACAAGAATTATGAACATGTTACAGATTATATTATGGTTGTTACTACTTTTAGTTTTGGTTGTTGCTACTTTTCCTTTTCCATTTTTTTCATGCAAGACAGAAAAATAATATTTGGTCCTGTGCTCGCAGTGGTGAAAGAAGTACTCAATTTTGTTACTTAAGTAAAAAAAGTACGGATACTGGAGCAAAAAAAATAGGAAAAAGTTAAAGTATCACACAAAAAATTGAAGTATTAAAGTACCCGTTTGAAAATGTACTAAAGAGTAAAAAGTACGAGTATTTTGCACAGAATTTGACAACTTATAAGGCTTCAATTGTAGTGATTTGTGCTGAATTTTGTTCAGTAGAAACAAATAAATCAATTTTTTTTAATCTGTTCAATAAACCCTCAGCTTTTTCAGCAAGTCTCAGATAATAATAAAAAAATACTTATATTTTTCAGTCCTGTTCAAAAATGTAGTGGCATAAAAAGTATAAACACCTGCTCTCAAATGTAGTGAAGTTAAATAAATAAAATAAGTGTACTTAAGTAGACACTTAAATACATTACTACTTTTACTTCGTTACGCTCCACCACAGTGTGATTTTGTACTATCACACATATGACAGACAGAGGGCGCCAGTGAGTGAGTCCTCTTACCTGTGAGCCTTTTTTGCTTCCTGGGAGGTTTATGATGAGCGTCTTCCCCCGGATCCCACACACAGGTCTGCAGCGACACAAGCACACGAACATTATCACACACACGAGTTTTGTCACAGTCTCAACAATTCTAGTTTGTGTGTGTTTGTGTATTTGTGTGTGAACTGTGTATTTAACAGTCTGTGTTTGTAACTGGGGCTGCACAACATGAGGAAAAAGTTAAGATATTTGTGGTGTTTGTATTATTTCATTTCATTTACATTAATTACAGCACACATCATTTCATTTCATTCCTTTATGTAGACTTATATTGTAATTTGGGTGCACACATTTTAGCCAGTATAAGTTCTTGTTCTTTTACTATTCAGTTTGTTTTACTAAGTTTGTTTTGTCTGTTTTTTAAGGTCCCTTTATTATCACTTATTGTTTTCTGTATTATACATATTTGCCTTCTTGTTACTTTGATTAAATGAGTAGTTTTAGTTAGTTATTTAGTGTAATTACCCCATCTTGAGTTCAGTTTTAGTTAACACTCATGTATTTAAACACATCTGTTCTTTGTCGTGTTGTGTTAGTTTTGTTTTGTTCAATTTGATTTAAGTTACCCCAGTTGGGCCCGTTTTTTATTTTTATTTATTTATTTTTTTATGATTTACCTAATTTGAGGCTTTATAAATTACGTTTATTTGACTTTATTAAATTTAAACATATTTTTGTACCTTGTCTTTCTGTTTGGCCCACGACAACATTCGTTAACTACATTTTCTCTTGCAATAATGATATTATTGTGGTATTTGAATATATTTTCCTTCAATCAAAATAAAAAGTAAGAGACTAAACCATTGATAAGTCCATTGATACTTTGCAGCTGGTGTCATCAACATTCCCGGAAGGTGTGGTGCTAACTGTAGGCACTGCTCTGTCTGAGGCTTTATTAGACTTTAAACTGAGCTTTATTTGAACACAATCTGGGCATGAAGAACTGACTTAGTTGAAACTACAACAGGTGAGCAGATTTGTTGAAAATTAAACACCTAAACATGACGATGAACCCTCGTATTGATCACAGGCTCCTGAACATGTGCCGCTTAAATAAATGCTTTTTTGTCCATGGTAACTGGTGGACATTCCGCCAAAACACATACATGTAGAACAACCCCTGCATGACGTCACTGCAAAGTATCAATAGGGAAAATCATGAATAAAATCTAAAACCTTTTTGCCCATTTTACAGTAGAGTACTCTTTTATAAAATGGAGAACTTAAATTTTCTTGCAATATTGATTATTCCATCAGCCAATATTGCGATACTGATATATTCATGATATGTTGTCCAACCCTATATGTACACGTGTAGTTGTACAGTTATACAGTTTGTCCAGAGGTGTAGTTGCATAGTATAGTTCAGGGTTCCCACTCTTTTTCACAATAAATTTCAAAACTTTTTCATGACTTTACAGCACCTACATGTGTAGAATTGATCAGACTTTGAGGGCTAAATATGACTATAGAAATATTCAAAATACTGTCAGTGCATTTATTTTCGTCTCTTTTAAACAATAGGTGCAGAAATAATCATAATAGCCTAATGAGAACTTAAAAGAACGCTGTAGTTTACAAAACACTCATTGAATTTTCTAGGATTTTCAAGCCTGTGGGAACCCTGATAGTTGTGTAGTTGTTACCTGGAGAGCATGCCCAGCGGTGTGACGTTGAGGGACCCCATGAGCATGGCCAGAGACATCCCCGGGGCCTCGCGCTCGATCACCTCTTTAGTGGCCTAACACACACACAGACAAAGGAACAATATTAGAACAGAACCTACTCTGCACAAACAACTTTTCACCAATTTTTAACCATGTCATAGTAGTTTCCTTCTCATTTACCCTTTTGAAGTTGTAACAGGAGTGAATCATGTACTGTACTGTGTATTTAATCTCTTATTTTCAACCTCCGTTTTCAGCACCACTGCTACATGGCCATTGCTCTGTACTTACTTTGTTCCCTAATTTCCGACCGATCTCAAATTCGGACGGTGGTACGGGTGTGTGCAGTGCCAAAAAAATGCCAAACCTGGTATACGAGTGATATATTTTAGGTATATTTTAAAGACTTTGCCGTCTTTGAAAGCACATGGGTGAGAGTGAAAGGTGGAATAACCAATCAGGCCATGGGCTGGTTTTATATCGGACAATATTTCCCAGACCAGAGGAGGTTTAGACCTGTTTTAGACCCTGTTTTAGACCTGTTTTTAGTTGTGTTTTAGACCTGTTTTAGACCTGTTATAGACCCTGTTTTAGACCCGTTTTAGACATGTTTTAGACCTGGTTTAGTCCTGGTTTAGACCTAGTTTAGTCCTGGTTTTAGACCTGTTTTAGATCTGTTATAGACCTGTTTTAGACCTGTTTTTAGTCGTGTTTTAGATCAGTTTTAGACCTGTTATAGACGCTGTTTTAGACCAGTTTTACACATGTTTTACATGTGGTTTAGTCCTGGTTTAGACCTGGTTTAGACCTGTTATAGACCTGTTTTAGACTTGTTTTAGACCCTGTTATAGATCCTGTTTTAGACCTGTTTTACACATGTTTTAGATGTGGTTTAGTCCTGGTTTAGACCCAGTTTAGTCCTGGTTTTAGACCTGTTTTAGACCCTGTTATAGACCCTGTTTTAGACCTGGTTTAGTCCTGGTTTAGACCTGGTGTAGTTCTGGTTTAGTGGTGCAGCCAGCAGAATGTACGGGAGGGGGGACGGTCCATGTGATGTACAGCAAGGGGTATGGTCTGCGCGGTGTAGGGATGGGAACGGTTCGCACGATGTATGGAAGGGTGTACGGTCCACGCCACGTACGGGAGGGGGACGGTCCGCATCATGTAGGGGAGGGAAACAGTCCACACAACGTACGGGAGGGGGTCAGTCCACACGACGTACGGGATGGGGAACGGTCCGCACGATGTACAGCAGGGGGTACGGTCCGCGGGATGTACGGGATGGGGTATGGTCCACGCGACGTATGGGATGGGGATCGGTGAAGGTGTACAGAGTTTAAAAACACAGTGGAGCACTCCCTGTATTAGCACATGACATCATAAGGTGGAACGTGGTGGTGGAGTGTTTTCTTTTTGAGAAAAGCACTCAGCGTAAATGTGCAGCTGTGTTTGTGTGTTAAACGTGCGAATGAAACAAAACACAACTCCAGGTCTGTTTGTGATGAGGAAACAACATTATATCGTAGATCAGAAAACAGCTTCATACGAGCCCTTTAAATCCCTGACATAACCCACACAGAATGTACAGTGAGCCACAGTGACACGCCCCACAGCTTCATTCATAATTGTCTCCAGTTGTTTGTGAATCGTGTCTAGACTGAGCACATCACGGCCGCCCTTCTCATATTGATTTACACAGATGCTCCGAGCTGTCCGAGGATCCTTATATGACCTCCTCCTCTCTCACTCCTCTCCCCCTGCCTCCTTCTCTTTCTCTCTCTCTTTTCCGCTCGACTCACCTGCACTTCTTTATCCAACGCATATACGGCCAGTACTATCACCACAATATCCATCTCATAGAAAAACACCCGCAGAAGCGTCATTTTCTCCATGGAGATCTTATTGCTTGGTCTGGAATGTTTCACAGTATGGCATTAAACCTTTCTATCGTCATGGAAACCAAACCAGAGCAAGTTACAGGTCAGATCTATGGAGAGGCGACCCCGCTCACAGTCAAAATGTTGTTTTGTAGGTGTTTTTGAGCTATAAAACCACCTGTAATTAAATAAATGTAAAGTAGAGCTGTTTAATGTCACACTGTGGAACATTCCAGACAGAGCGATGACATATCCATGGAAACAAGCAGGTAACGAACCCCCAACCAAAAAGTTACACAGTGCAAGTAAAAGTACAGATACTGTAGCAAAGAAATACTGACGTAAAAGTAAAAGTATCACATGAACAAATCTACTGCGTTGTGTAACTTTTCTTGTAGAAGGTCTGTGAAACGCTTTTCTCCATGGAGACGTTGTTGCTTTGTCTGGAATGTTTCACAGTATGGCATTTTATCACAGCACAGTATGGCCTTTCTATCTTCATGGAAACCAAACCAGAGCAAGTTACAGGTCAGATCTGTGGAGAGGCGACCCCACTCACAATGAGAATGTTGTTTTTCTAGATATTTTTGAGCTATAAATCCACCTGTAATTGGATAAATGTAAAGTAGAGCTGTTTAATGTCATACTGTGGAACATTTTAAGCAGAAGATGAACCCTCCACCAGAAAAATTACACAATGCACCTTTAAAGGCACTATATCTGATTTTTAGTCTCTTAAAAATGTTAAAATGTTTGAACACTTTGCAGCGGTCCAAAGTTATTCCTCGTTAACCCCATGAATTCCGAGCATCGTAAATATTCACCATGATGAGTTTGTATAAAGAAGAGTACAAATTTATTTACGGACAAAATAATGAAATAAAAACAGCAGGATCATGTAGAGCGGGTTAATACTAGGGATGGGCATTCGATAAAATTTTCTTAAGCAATTGTTGGGAGAATTAACAATCATTTTTTTGAGTAATCCTGAACATTTTTATATTAAAATTATCATCATTATTATTACTATGACTAATCTGCATAAATAAACTCAACTTTACAACATATAAACCATCACCACTCTAGAGCCACATCAGCCCGTTGGAGATTATAATGTGTTTAATGCAGCTTTGTGCACATTTGTTTACAGAAACGAAACTTAAAACCACATGGATCACTTGCATAAACTATTAGCGCTGCTCTTAGTCATAGTCATTTCATTCACTTTATTTACTTTGCTCACTTTATTTATTTTGGCTACTATTGTGATGAAAAGACAAAGTGTTTGTCTTTTGGTCGCATGTGCATGTCACAGTGTTAGAATTCGTTCGCTCGACAGTAGGCGGGTACTTTTTATCATTTAACTAATCGCTTCTATTTGGTAATGACGTATGTAATGCGCTGCTAACAGGGAAAACTAGGATATTAAGCTTTTCCCAAATCTTGTAGGAAGAAGGACAACAACGTCTTTCCCGTTGATAAAATTCACCAAACATTCTCTTTGTTCCGGCTTTAAATCCTCGATCTCAGGAATCGTTACCAACGCAGAATGTATGACCCTTCGCTGATTGGCTGGTGCCCGAACTCGCACTTCCGGGGTTTTTACGAACCGTCTAGTGTATTCTGATTCCTGACCTAGTTGCTGGAGTGAAATGAAATTGAGCGGAGGCACTAGATGGAGCCAGACTGGCTACCTCAGATTATGATTGACCCACAAAGTAAGTTATGAACAGACACTTACGCTCTCTTTTCACAGTTTTATTTATACCAACTATCCCAACCCGGATGTGTCCCAGTTTTGAATTTTGAACCTTTCACTAGAATCAATTCATCAATCTGAAATAAAGCTAAAAGTTGTAGCTGTTAACTTGGAAACTATCGCTTCATGACATCACAAGGTGGGACAGAGCATTTTGAGCTTTGGAGATGTAAACAGACTAATAATAAAGAGTTACTCAGACATTTGTGAATAAAATAAAACACAATTCCAGGTCTGTTTTTAAGAGGAAACAACATTTTATCACAACTAAAATAGGACCTTAAAAGAAAAAAAGTTGCAAAAAGTCACACTAGGGGCAAAAAACACATGATTTTAATCTATCAAAATGTCTCCAGTGCAATTTTCTGACAATTTAACACATTTCTGAGTTGAGATTATAAACAAAAGAAGTGTTAAACAATCTGAAAAAGAGTATAATTACAGTATGTTAACAGTATTTTCTTTTAAACCACACACATGTACCAGTCCGCACACACAGGCCGACACAGACAGAGCTCGGCTGTCTGGAGTCGTTACCCTGGATCAGATTAGAACGGTCAGTCTTATCGCTATGCTACACTGTACAGGTATGCTCCTCCTGCTAACACGCTGTAGACCGGACCTGATCCAGACCGGAGATAGGACTAAAAGTGGACCCGCTGTCCCCAGTACATGTGTCTGTGCTGGGGTAAAGGAGGAGAGATAGGGCCAGGGAGGAAATGATAGCGTTCGAAAAAAAAACCCAAAAAACTACCAGAGCAGAGTTTGACATTTTAGAATAAGAACTGGATATAGTTTTTCTTCACTATTTTGGCAAATAGTTGTAGTATAATTCCTTAAAGGGCCTACACATTAAACATCAGACGTCTTATAGAAGTGCAGATCATGTCTATAGTGCGTCTGTCAGTCCAAGACCAATTCTGGACAAAAAAACGACGTGCAAATTCTGTTCATTATTTGGACGTCTAACTATGACCCCACTTGAACGTCAATATGCAGTTAAACATTTGAACAAGGTGACTTTTTTTAGATGTCATTGGGATGTCTAATAACCTGTCTGACCTCGCAGCATTAGGATTCGTTTGCAGCCAGGTACTTTTTTATTTAACCAATCGCTGCTATTTGGTCGTGACGTATGTAATGCACCAAATCCCGTAGGAAGAAGGGCAATAACGTCTTTCCCCTTGGTAAAATTCACCAAACATTCTCTTTCTTCTGGCTTTAAATCATCAATCTCGGGAATCGCTGCCAACACAGAATGTCTGTCTTCGTCTACATCCATCTCGACCGCTTTGTTTACTGTTGTGCTGAACCACAAAGGGACCCAGACAGACGCTTGAGTTTGATGTCATGGCTTCACAGCTCTTTGCTCATTGGCCGGTGCCTGAATTCACACTTCCGGGGTTCTGTCTGATCTGTCTAGTGCAGGGGTGTCAAACTCATTTTGGTCCGGGGGCCGTGTCCAACCTACTTTGATCCTAAAGGGGCCGGATCAGAAAACTCATGGCATATATACCTTAAAAATAACAATAAGTTCAAATATTTTTGAAGGGAAATGCAAATCTATTATAGAAATATTTTTTTTAATTGATGAACTCTTTCTTTTACTAAATATTATAATATCATGAACAACCTGAAACTTTAAGAAAAATGCGATTTCAATACAATGTTTTAACATTAACTTGTATGGAAATAGGAATAAGTCATTTTTTTTCTTGGAAAATCCTGCACTCGGCTCCACTTTTCTCATTTTTGACATTTTGCTGATGAGGGTGTCACGGTCAACAGTCAAAACGATCGTCCTTTAAGAGCGTTTGGAAAGAGACAAGTCTTCATTTGTGCTGCTCTGGTGGGAGGGGCCACGTACAGAGACGCTGGAGACACTGCTATGCTCAGCGACACAGAAAATTACCAATATTTTAATAGAAAATATAATTAAAATATTTTAGTAGAAAATCAGCCGAGGGCCAGATTAAAGGTCTTGGAGGGCTGGATCTGGCCCCCGGGCCGTATGTTTGACACCTGTGGTCTAGTGTATTCCGATTCCTGACCTAGTCGCTGGAGAAAAATTTAATTGAGCGGAGGCACTAGGTAGCGCCAGCCTGGCTAGACGTCTAACACAGACGAAAGAAAAATTACGTTATTAATGGTAATTCTGTGTTAGTCAGAGAAATGATGGTGAATTTAATTTTATTTTTTAAAGATCCAATGCCTATTTACACGAGAACGCTTGCAGGTAAAAACAACAACATATTTTATCAGAAGTGCCTTTCATTTAGACGGTGACAGTGTTTTTGGGGCTTAAAAACGCAAAAATCTGAAACCACCCTCCAGAGTGTAAAAGTTGAATACGCTCCGCCATAGTGTTTCCGTCTACACTGCCCAAGACGCAAAACTCTGGTCAGATCTGCTCACGTTGCGTACTCGTTTACATCACATACATACAGTATACAGAAACCCGGCATACCCAATCGAATCCCACAAACTTTTGCATCACCGTATGCACGTAAATTTCCTCCCGAAAACACTCTAAACGTGGAATAAAAAGTGAAGACGCGACGCCACTTTTTCACGTCTTTTGCTCAAACTGTCATCATATAAACATAGCCTAAAAGTACGTAAAAAGCAGCTGTTAACTTAAAAACTACCACTTTATGACATCGCAAGGTGGAACTGAGCATTTTGAGCTTTGGAAATGTAAACAGACTAATAATAACGTGTTGCTCAAGCATGTGTGAATGAAACAAAACACAACTCCAGGTCTGTTTTTGATGAGTTAGTAATAGCAGCAGTTGTATTACTAGTATCTTATTAGAAGTAGTATTAGTAGTAGTAGCAGCAGTAGTAATAGTATCTAAAGAAGTAAGCCTATAGAAAACAGCAAAAGCAGCTCTTATAACAATAATGAACCTGTCTTTCTAAGCACTACAAATCCCATACACTTATTTGACAAAACATAATGAAAATCCGTCTAAAAATAGCACCTGCCGCCTCCTCACCACTTAACGTATCATAACGCCTCATCTGAAACAACAGTCATCCTTTTGTCCTCTGTGTCCGCCCGGCTCTATTTTTAACCGGGACTATTTTAACGCGGACTTTGATTTCCTGATTTCAAACCTGGTCGTGCTTCGGTTGAATGTGAAGTGGAGATGAGTGAGTACAGTGAGAGGTGTTACTGCTCTGTTACTCCTCTACAGCCACTCGCCAATACTGCAATATGTATCCCACTGTCAACAAATATGTCTATGCGCATATTTAGACACATCTTCAGACGAATCAGAGCTCGAACATTTTCTGATCTGTGTTATAATGTTGTTTCCTCGTCACAAACAAAGACATGGAGTTGTGTTTTGTTTCATTCACACATGTTTAACACACAAACCCTGCAGATTTAGGCTGAGTTATTCTCTCAAACAGAAAACAGAATAGTATTTGGAACAGGAGTACTGATAGAAACAGTATTAGTAGTAGCAGTAGGTTTCAGCCCTGGAGTTGACAGTCTCTACTGAACTAAAGGTAAGACGTAGGTGTAAACTATGACTTCATTATCAGAAGGTGAAGCAGCATTTTGAGATGTACACAGACTAATCATGCAGGATTACTCAAACGTGTGAATGGAAAAAAAAAAAAACAACAAAAACCACAACTCCAGATATGTTTTTGATCAGGTTACAACATTATATCATGGCTTAAAGCTCATAAGAGTCAATTTTGTGTAATACAGGACCTTTAAAGTGACTATAATGCAGTGTTCAGGCTTTTTAATTATTCCATATTACTGTATGTAGCTTCACTGTTTTTAAATGTACTACAAAGACAATTGAACCTGAGCTGCCAGAGCCTAAACGTGCAGATAGAAGACACGTCCAATTGTCTCATTCTCAGTATACGGACAGACCATGCCTCTCCAGAATTCCCTCCCTGAGTTGCAGAGGCTTAGCCAGGGTGGCACCACCTAGTGTCTCCACTCAATTTCACTTCTCTACAGAGACTAGGTCAGGAATCAGAATACACTAGATGGTTTGCAACAACCCCAGAAGTGCGAGTTCGGGCACCAGCCAATCACCAAAGAGCCATATATTCTGTGTTGGCAATGATTCCCGAGATCAAGGATTTAAAGCCGCACAATGCACATTTAGTACCTCATATTTCTGGAAATAAATCATGGAAAGTTAAGATAGTTAAATGTGAAAATTCCACATCTTTCCACATTCATATGTTGCAGAACTGAAGCATGTTTTGCCGTACCTCTGGTGTGACGTCTCTCGGGGCGAAGCCGGTGCCTCCGGTGGTGAGGATGAGGTTGAGCTCTTTTTCATCGCACCAGTCCACCAGTGTATCCTGTCACACACAAACACATACGTTTGGTTAAACTGGTGGTAAATAATGAAACAATCACACTTCCCCAACTGAATGCAAAATCAAATTTTTTCTTACAAGTTAACTAAAATGACAACTAATGTGTGACGTACACTGTGCGATATTTTCGATCATTTCACTCAGCCCCAGCTCAAACTGTACGACCACATTGCAGGGTTTAAAAGTTCACAGCTCATGATTCATGTTCTCACACTATACGACCCGACGCTCGGTGTGAAACCCTCATGAGAGGCAACTGGATTTCAAACAGGTTTGATATTTTTGCGACCTACGATTTCCGATCAGGAGCTGGTCATGAGGTATTAATCAGTTCTTGTTACACAAAGCATGACACAAGATTAAGCCAAAAGTCGGCCCGATCCCAAAAACAGTCGTAGGAGTTAAAAATCAGCTCAAAAAGGACTGAAAATCGCACAGTGTACACCTGCCTTAATGAAGCACATAAGATTAGGAATGAGCACATCACAGCGACAACATTGTTTAAAAAGTAAATCATGGACGTACCTTGATGTCTTCTATTTCATCTGGTACTATTTTGTAGGCCACGATCATCCCTCCCAACCTGAAACACACAAAACACAAGACATGAGTGAGACACAGAACATTCTTTCGTAGTTCTTATAATAATAATGTCATAGTAGTACAGTAGTACATACATAGTACACTACGTATGTATACAAATGTAGTTGAAACCAGTTCACATTTTTTTTAAATAACAGCATACGAACCTTCCCCAGTTTGATTCAAATCTTAATCGTCCAAGTGCGTGCAAACAAATCATTTTATTTTTTGCCCAGCCCTAAGTAGTAGTATGCAAAAATATTATTAAGTTTGTTGTAGTAGCTGTAACTTTTGTAATATTAGTGTAAAGATTGCAAAATAGTACATATTTTATTCATCTGAAAATGTCTTTATGGGGACAAAACGACAAAACTATACACTCATTTTATTTAGTAGAACAATGTATAACAACCTGTGTAATTATTAGCCATAGTTATTCGCTGTAGTAGCCTAATATTTATAGTAGCAGTTTGTTATAGTCGTAGAAGTACATAAACTTTGTAGTAACAGTATTTTTAGTTTGTCATAGTAGCTGTAATTATAGAATCTACCACTGAAACTTCACACAAATCACCCAAATCAACCAAGAATCTTAGTCCAGTTCTTCCCGAATGCCCTTGACCGCCCCCTTTAAAAAAACAGCACCTACACTCTCATACAGCGTGATCCACAGCGCCCTCTTGTGGCCGCCCGGAGTACTGCGGCTGTATCAGAACAACCCCAGGCTCAAGGTGAAGTCTCTGCACAGACAAGGCTTATGTAACCGCCTTCTCTTTTTTCACATGGGAGCTCTATTTTGGGACGAGGCTGCATCTCTCCTCCTGTACACCAGCAACACTCAAACCCTCCTCCCACCAAAAATACAATACGGATAGTTGTAGTTGCGATAGTTTTGCTTAAAGGGTCCATTGCGCTATTTTCTGATCTGTGTTATAATGTTACGCAGAGATGTGTTTTTTCATTCACACGTGTTTTTAACGCACAAACTCTGCGTCTGAGTTCTTCTCTCAAACGGAAAACACTGGTGGTGGAACTTTGTGACGTCATGTGGTGATACAGGAAGTGCGTCAATGTGTTTTTAAACTCCATAAACTAAGGGCCGCGGGCAGACTCCGGCCCGCCACGCCCCTTTGACCGACCCCTCAGCCTCTCTTCCCCCAACCACATGAACTGACCCTATGAGACAATCCTCAAAAGTTGTCATAACCTATATTTTTTTTATTAATTTTTAGCAAATAATAACATGTCTGCATCTTGTATTTTGTAGATTTTTTCAATTAAAAATGATATTTATATGAAGTATTTATGTTTATATTTAAATAATTCTATCACGTATTTACATTTGCCGCCGAATCTGACAGTCAACGCATGCGCAGAGTTCTGTAGTGCAGTTAAGGCAGGGGTCGCCAACCTTTTTCCTATACTGAGCTACATTTTAAAAAATAAAAATGCCGGAGAATTACTAATTTGAAGAATTTGAGAAAGAGTCATGGCGAGCCTTAGGCTACGTTCAGACTGCAGCCTGAAGTGACCTAAATCTGATTTTTTGGCCTCTATGTGACCTGTAACTTTGGCCCGCGATATAATTATATTTGGAAAAGCGGCATGACGTGTCTATTGAGCGTTGGGACTGATGTTGCTGTGTTGCTCCTCTGTGGGTTTGTGGATGTGGTGCTGGGACAGAGGCTGTGGGGCTTCTGTCATCTCGTTTTTATTTGGTAAAATTTTGTATTATTTGGATTTCATAGACGAGCCTAAATGTTTCAAATGTAACGCACATGCAAACATATAATATCAAATGTACCAAGTGTAGATTGTGCAGAGTCGAGTCTCAGGTCTGATCTGGTTCTGGTCTGGTTCCTGTTTTGTCCAGTTCATTAAGTTTACTGAACGCAGCCTGAAGTGACCCAAATCCGATTTTTTGGCTTCTATGTGACCTGTATCCGATCTTTTAATGACAGTCTGAACGACACAGATACGATTTTTTCAAATGCGACCCAGGACACTTGGATATGTGGTCCTAGAGCTGATGCATATCCGATCTTTTGACATGTGACTTCAGTCTGAACGGCCAAAGCGCATTCATTTGAACTACACGTCATCAACAAGCCACAAACGTCACTATTCTGTGCAGAAGTAGACGAAAATTGTTAATGAACTCCGTGTCACTGAAGCGAAGCACATCACCACTCACCACTCTTGACTACGTCACCACATTTACACGTTCCTTTCAACGGACGTCGCTGCCACTGCCGCTGTCCCACAAAACGCCACGGCCAAAAACCTCGTCCTTCTCCTTCTTAATCTCCTCCTCAAAACAAGTAAGTTGTTCATGTTCTGGCTCCGGTACGAGAGGAACTTTAAAATCTCCAGGTGCTAAATGCATGTTTGGACAACTTCCGTAAACACAGAGCATGATCGCTGTGGTTGACATCGTCGTGTCTCCAGTGCACATGCGGGACACTTTCGGGCCGTTTAATGTTCACACTGGAGTCACATACAAGTCGCATTTAATTGGAAATATGAACGACCTCACAAAAACATCAGATTTCACAAAAAAATCGGAATTGAGCGTTAAGCCCTGCAGTCTGAACGTAGCCTTAGATGGGGTACACATAGAAGCTTATAAAACATAAACCATTACCCATTCATTAGTGCAGAAGTTAGGTCTCAAAATAATAATTAATACATTTAAAATGGTACATAATCAGATTTTAGTTATTCAGCGCAGATGATGAGAGTCACTGTGAACACGCCAAACAAAGTCCAACTGACCCATCGAACTGTTGTGTTTCGTTTAGAGTCCGGTGCCGTTTATTTGTGAAAAAAGTTCGAAAATAGACCATTCTATGACAGTGCGCCTTATAGTGCGGAAAATACGGTACTAAGGTTGTTAAAAGTATCAAAAATCCTATACTACAACTAGTAATGGACCTTTCCTGAATAGCTTTAGAATGATCTTGAGTATATCAGAACAAAGAACCCTATGTTTGGCTAAAAAGTGACATACTGTGGCTTTAAGTTTGGATATTTCTTTCAAAAACAGTGAGTCTCCCAGAGTTAGAGTTATAAAGACCCCTGCCCTCCGTCTGAAATTATGATCATCAAACTCCTCGAACGCACCACAATCTATAGGTTATCTGAGTTGAAACATTTCTGAGGAGTCACTCTCTCTCCCGCTCCGTCTCTTTCTCCCTCCCTCCCTCTCTCATGCTCACCCTCCCTCTCTTTTTATCTCCTTTCCTCCCACTTTCCCTCTCCGTCGCTCTCTCCACGCCCCGTCTCTCTCCCTCTCTCTCCTTTCTCTTTCCGTCCCTTTCTCTTCCTCTCTCTAGCTCCTTCACTACGTTCCTCTCTTTCTCTGCCACCATCTCTCTCCTTTCTCTCTCCCTCTTTCACCCCCCTCTTTCTCTCCCTCCTTCTCCATCTCTCTCTGTCATTCTCTCCCTTTTTCTCTCCCTCCCTCTCCCTCTCAGTCCTCCTCTTCCTCGATCACTCCTGTCCTGCTTTCTTTCCCCCCCTCTTTCATTCTCCCTCCCTCTTCTTTCTCTCTCTCACTCCATCTTCCTCCCTCCCTTTCTCTCTCGTCCCGTCTTTCCCTCCCCCTCTCTCTTTCTCTCTCTCCCTCTCTTCTTTCTTTTCCTCCTTCTCTCTTTCTCTCAGTCTCCCTCCCTCTTTCTCCCCTGCCCCCTCTCTCTTTCACTCTCTCCCTCTTCCCCTCCCACGCTCTCCTTCCCCTCTCTCTCTTCTTTCTCTCCTTCTCTCGCTCTCTTCTCCCTCCCTCTCTCCCTTCTTCTCCCTCTTTCCCTCCCGCTCTCTTGTTCCTTCCTCTCTCTCTCCCTCTCTTCTTTCTCTTTCTCTCCTTCTCTCAGTCTTTCTCTCCCTCTCTTCTTTCTCTTTCTCTCAGTCTTTCTCTCCCACTCTTCTCCCTCTTTCCCTCCCGCTCTCTTGTTCCTTCCTCTCTCTTTCTCCGTCTCTTCTTTCTCTCCCTCCCTCTCTCCTTCCCTCCCTCTCTTCTTCCTCTCTTCTTTCTCTCCCTCCCTCTCTCTCGTGTTTGGTTCTGGCGCGAATGAAAATATGCTCGACTCGAATAGCTGGGGTTCCTTCCTGGTTTCCACGGCAACCTCTCCATCCTGTCTGAAGCAGAGGAGCGGCGAGCGAGCGAGCGAACGAGCCGTCCGCCAAATGTTTGTTTCTTTTTTTCTTTTTTTTTCAAACTATCGGGGATGCCATTTCTGCACAAAGCTCCGGTATGCTGCTGCTGACTCGGCGCTTTTGTGAATGTGTCTAGAGGAGATTTTAGGAACATATGTCCGTCGTTCCCAGAGTCAACAGCAGATTTGAGAATGGATTTTGTTTGGGAATTTATTTGCGGTAAAAAACAAAATTGTATCCACCGTGTAAAGGAAAGGAAACGATATCCAAATCTCACGGTGCGATATTATCACGATATGACAAAATTCACGAGGCTGATAAAATTGTAGATAGGATCATTTTTGTTTTTAAAATACTTCGAGAAACCGTTCATTCCTGGTCTGGTCCTAGTCTCAGTCCTAGTGTGGTCCCGGTCTGGTCGCGGTCTGGTCTCGGTCTCCGTCCCAGTCTCAGTCCCGGTCTGGTCCCGGTCTCAGTCCAGGTCTCGTCCCGGACTGGTCCTGATCTGGTCCTGGTCTCAGTCACAGTCTTGGTCATGGTCTCAGTCCCGGTCTGGTCCCGGTCTCAGTTCAGGTCTCGTCCTGGACTGGTCCTGATCTGGTCCTGGTCTCAGTCACAGTCTTGGTCCTGGTCTCAGTCCAGGTCTCGTCCCAGTCTCGTCCCGGTCTCAGTCACGTTCTCGGTCCTGGTCTCAGTCCTGGTCTGGTCCCGGTTTCAGCCCCAGTCTGGTCGCAGTCTTGGTCCCGCTCTCAGTCCCGGTCTGGTGGCGGTCTGGTCTCGGTCTCAATCCTGGTCTCTGTTCTGGTCTGATCACGGTCTGGTCCCCGTCTCAGTCTCAGTCTTGTT